TCAGATAGTAGCAGAATAAACTTTAGTCTAAACCTGTTAGAATTATTGCTAGAGTCCAGAATCATAAAGTATTTTTCTAAGGGAAACAAAGTTGATTGGATTATCCTTTCCAAATAAAATGCACAAAAGGTATATTGCTTTAAATTGTTGGTATGGCCGGGTGTGGTGCTCACACCTGTAATCCCAGCACTTTGGGAGGCCGAGGCGGGCAGATCACTTGAGGTTGGGAATTCAAGACCAGCCTGGCCAACATGGTGAAACCCTGTCTGTACTAAAAATACAGAATTTAGCTGGGCATGGTGGCACGTGCCTGTAATCCCAGCTACTTGGATGGCTGAGACAGGAGAAACACTTGAACCTGGGAGGTGGAGGTTGCAGTGAGCTGAGATCCTGCCACTGCACTTCAGTCTGGATGATAGAGTGAGACTCTGTCTCAAAAAAAAAAGAAAAAGAAAAAAATGTTGATGTGTTTCATTTTTTAAGGACCTGTTTTTGAAAGGTCTTCAGAAATGAAGCTTTTTTTTTTTTTAAATTAAGTACCCCAAAACATTTTTTAGAATGATTTTGGCCATCTCTTTTAGTAAAATCTATTTTTGTTTCATAGCGCAAACAGAGGGCTAAAAGTAAAGTACGAGTTCAGCTTTTAAAATTACTTTGTAATCAGGAAGCTTAAGGAAATCTAGGATTGAAATTGATTCTTTTGAAATAAAATAAGTACTGAGTTTCAGCAAGTTGAATTTATCCTCACACCAGTTAGATGGTTCTGTACTGCTGTATATAGTCACAGATTAATATGTGCAGTTCACAGAGAAAGGTGTTAATGGGTTTCAGATAACATTGATACCGCAATTACAAATAATTGCATTTCTACTAACTTGGTAAATCAGTGCAAAACACCTTAGAGCTTTCTTTAGCATTTCTAGCTGGCATGTCTCATACATTCCTTGATTTCAGTGTAGGCCAATGTAAAATGGCATTGGATCTTTCAGGATAATTGGTTCATCTCTTTGGCATTCCACCCCGCCCCCACACCCTACTTTACTTATTCCTGGTATAAGAATTAAAAAGTGACTGCTCAGGCAAAGACAGTGACAGTGGCTTCTGGAGGTCATACATCAAGTTTCGCATAGAGATGACAGTGGAAAATGTATGTGTGAGTGTTCGGGCCTGGGGGTGAGAGCAGAGTTGTAAGTCTGGCCATTTCTTAGAGGGTTGGAGAAAAGACCTGATTACCTGGCTAAACAGGATTTTGTACTTCACTTGGATTTATCTGATTATTCAAAAAAAAAAGAAACTGTTAAGACCTACATAGTACATAGGGTGACAGTCCTTATCCTCTGTGAATTGAGGGAGGTGAGTAATCGCAATAGCAGCTAGCATTCATTAAGTATGTTTGCTACCAGGAACTCATATGAGCACTTGGCATGAGTTAATTCATTGTATCCTCACAACCCCATGAGGCAAGTACGATAGTACAGTCCCCAATTTCTAGATGAGGAGTCTAGGGCACTCAGAGTAACTTGGTCAAGGCCCCACTGGCAGTCTGGTTCCAGTGCCCACACCCCCTTTCCTGTTACATGGTACTACCTCCCCGTGGAAGGCTAAGTTCTAGAGTTAACAAAGAGGCAGAAGAGGCACACAGTATGACCACAGGGAGAGATGGGACAGAGACTCTGTATATAAAGAGATCAAAACCGCACGGGCTGTCATTTTCATCCTTCCAACCATGGCCTTAATGTAGGCCTCCTCTTTCTCACCCAGCCTTGCTTGCTTGTTCACCTTCCCAGTTCTGGTCTCCTCCCACTGGAAGCCATCCTCTACAGTGCTACCACGCACATCTGGTCATGACCCTCCCCTCCTTTAAATTCTTCCACTAAAGTCCAGAAAAAAACCAGCTTCCCATCCCCTGTAGCCTTGAATCCCAAACTCTGACTGCATCAAGATCATCTTTAGAATTTGATAAAAATGCATATTGCCAGGCCACAACCCAGACCTACTGAAACAAGATCTCTGTGCATGAGTCCCGGGGAAATGTTCTCTAACAGGGTGCCCAGCGTTTCTCATGTCAGCCAGGTTAGGGGACTGCTACACAGACATGGAAAAGGTCAGAACTCCACATCTGTGGCATGCCTGTTTGTCTGTTTTCCCCACTGGACTAGAAGCCCTGTGAGGTTTCATGCGTGGCTTATTCTCCTCTATCCATAGCACCTAGCAAATCTCTGGCACCTAGCCAGCATGCAACAAATGTTTTGAATATGTGCATGAATTATTACAAGGCAAGTTGTCCTCTCATGGGACAATTTAGGAGGATTGCTTAAAGCAGGTTTTCTTCTCAACCGGTGAATATTAATGCTGATTTCCAGGAGTGATGAGTTCAAAAAACCACAACCACCTTCTTTTCTCCTCCTATGATTATTTTTCTAGCTTTGCCTCCAGGTAGTGATGGGCTTTTCAGCCAACTATAGACATTCTACTCATTTAAACAGCAGAGTTTAGTTTTTGTATTGGAAAGGCCAAAAACTCAAAAAGCAGAGCTACAGGGAATTTGCCAACAGTGGTTACCAGGTCCTTGCTTGGTCATTTATGACCTAATTTTGAGGGAGAGGAGTAAATGCAACAGTGATCTTTCAGTTACTGGCTGAGTGGTAAATGCTTGCATCAAAAATGCTGCATTGCTGAACAGTATGCACTAATAGCACTCATATCTCATATAGCAAGAATCAGGTGTCGTTGGCCTTGGGAATGAAGCAGAGCTGATGTTACCCAACAGAATAGCATACAGGAAAAGATGGGTAAATAACTGAAGTCCAAGCACAGATGGCGTTTCCAGTGGAAGAGAGCAAGGGCTTATTGAGGCCAATGAGTGCAATGGGGAGTCGGAGCGGTTAGCCCTGCCAGGCCCTCAACTTCTTAGGAAACAAACATGCAACAGACCCAGGTGTATGGCTCTCTAACAAGCTTGTTTAGTTAACAAAGAAGTATTTGATTTCATGCTTTCAAACCATCCCAAAGCCAGAGACGGACAGTGTTCTGATGATTTGCTGCCATCTTTAGTATTTTTTCCTACCTATCCTGCTGGGTGCTGCTGTTCGTATGATGGCTCTGAACAAACAGTGAGGCTGCAAGAAGACAGCAGCAGATACCATTGTTTGCCAGACCTTCCTGTGACCTACCATCTGCCTCTGTTCAAGAGAAAGGGAAAGGTTGTCCCAGAGGCGAGTTTGCAGTGGGAGACACTACTTTAACTTGGTGGTCCAGGCCAGACCCGCCAAGAGGCAGTTTACAATACACATTCCAGCCCCTTGAAGTTTCTCTGTAACACTTACCAAGACAATAATATGGGGTGTTATTTTTAATCCTTGTGATGTATTTACGATCTACCCATATTACAGTTCTTTTGAGATGGTTTGACTCTAGCAGTGACAATGTGTGGTAAAAGTGATTTGTTGAAATGTTTTCAATTTCTGAAACATCAGTTAAAATGAAGAAAAGTTCACATTTATTGAGCACCTACAACAGGAGCTTTCACCGATGTTCTCATTTGTGCTCCACAGTAATCCCTGGCAGTTGCTAACGTAATTAATTCCCATTCCATAGAGGAGGAACTTGATACCATAACCCATATGCCTTCCCTAGGATATTAAGAGGGACAGAGGTAGACTTGACATGGTCCTCAGTGTTCTTTCCATTGTACCATACCCAGGCGTGTTGCTTTCTTCAGCTTTGGTCTACAGTTATTTATACAGAGACCTTCATGTTTCATAAATTATTAACCCCTAACAATAGAACAAAAACATTTTACAGATGTGACTCTGGGCCTCTTGGTTACATTTGACCAGCTGAGAGCTGCACCTGTGGCTGTGTCAACCACTACTGTTGCTTTCTTCTGCTTCCTAAAAGAAGAAACGAATTGCTGCCCTTTGTTAGGCCTTTTCTGTCTGCCGGATACAATGTCTATGTGGATTTTTCTCAGTCCTCGTGACAGCTCCACAACATAGGTACAGATAAGGAACCTGGGGTTTAGGTTAAAGTGATTTGTCAATGTGACACAGCTAGTAAGTGGCAGCACCACGATTCACCCCTGTGTCTCTGACTGCCTCCCTGTATTAGTCCGTCCTCACACTGCTAATAAAGACATACTGGAGACTGGGTAATTTATAAAGGAAAGAGGTTTAATTGACTCGTCATTCCACATGACTGTGGAGTCCTCACAATCATGGTGGAAGGCAAAGGGGAAGCAAGACATGTCTTACATGGTGGCAGGCAAGAGAGAGCTTGTGTAGGGGAATTCCCCTTTATAAAACCATCAGATCGGGCCGGGCGCGGTGGCTCAAGCCTGTAATCCCAGCACTTTGGGAGGCCGAGGCGGGCGATCACGAGGTCAGGAGATCGAGACCATCCTGGCTAACACAGTGAAACCCCGTCTCTACTAAAAATACAAGAAAATTAGCCGGGCGTGGTGGCAGGCGCCTGTAGTCCCAGCTACCCGGGAGGCTGAGGCAGGAGAATGGCGTAAACCCGGGAGGCGGAGCTTGCAGTGAGCCGAGATCGCGCCACTGCACTCCAGCCTGGGGCACAGAGCAAGACTCCGTCTCAAAAAAAAAAGAAAAGAAAAAAAAAAAAAAAAAACACCATCAGATCTTGTGTGGACGTATTCACTATCATGAAAACAGCATGAGAAAGACCCACCCCCATGATTCAGTTACCTCCACCAAGGCCCTCCCACAACACGTGGGAATTATGAGAGCTGCAATTCAAGATGAGATTTGGATGGGTACACAGCCAAACCTTTTCATTCCCCATGTTCACTCACCCTAGTGTCCTGATAGGAACTTTTGCTAAAAGCTGTTGTCTGAAGGGGAAAATATTCTGGGCTTGGTTCAGAAAATATTCTACCACAGTTTAGAAAGTCAAGCACATAAGTGCTTTTATGCTATCAGGTGAGTGCATTTTCTATGATCCTATTCAAATAAATATTACATAATGTGTTTTTCCCCCAGATCGGCCATGGATATGGAACATTCCTTATGTCAAAGCACCGGATACGCATGGGAACATGTGGGTGCCCTCCTGAGAATCTCAAGGCACTGTGAAATTTAAGTGTAAGACATTGAGCCACAAACATGGAATCTCTTCTTTGTACTGGATGTTCACTTCCCTTAAAGTCTTACTTGTACCCCTACAAAATCTGCAAAGGTCACTCTGATGAATGGATGTTGGTTATACTTTTAATGGACATTAACATTCTCAATAAAAAAAGTATTATTTTCTTAATTCACTTTTATATGTTTTGGAAAGAAAACTAGTGAACTTCTCTATGCTAAAAATATGTACTGGTTGAGTATCCCCTGTGTGAAATGCTTCAGATTTTGGATTTTTTTGAATTTTGGAATATTTGCAAATGCATAATGAGATATCTTGGGGATGGGACCCAAATCCAAACACAGAATTCATTATGTTTCATATACACCTTAGAGACAATAACCTAAAGGTGATTTTATATATTTTAGATAATTTTATGCATGAAACAAAGTTTTGACAGCCTTTTGACCATGATTCATCACATGAGGTCAGGCATGGAAATTTTCACTTGGAGCATCATGTCAGCACTCAAAAAGTTTTGGATCTTGGAGCATTTCAGATTTTCAGATTAGGGATGCTCAGCCTGTATAGATATAAAATTATCCTCACAGTGACTTAGAATCTCTTGGTGCTGTCAGCTGTTGGGAACTGAAGATTGACTTTGTGCTTCCACCCTCCATCCAGAAAGGCACCCTTCATTCCACCAGAACTTTACCCAGGAAGAACGTGATCATTTCCTTTTTCACCCATGCCCTCTCTCAGCTTTCTGAGTACGTCTTGTGGGGTCACTGGAGGTGTTCCTAGGGGATGCCCGTAGGATCTGTCTCAGAGACTGATGTGCCGTTTCAGCCCCCTGCAGCTAAGAATTGTATTGACTGTCCTCATAGCAGCTTTTCATAGCTTTCAGCTTCAGCTTTACGAGGCTTCTCCTCTCTCCCTGGCACGCTGCTGGCTGCCTCACTGCTTAGTCCCACTAAACCCAAACACCTGCCCAGGGTAAATGAGTGTCTCTTCTATCCCCAGAAATTTCCAGAGAAAACAGCTCATAGAAACATCCAAAAGCACACAAGTATTTTGGGAAAAATCCTAAAAGGTGACTTAATTTGGTGCCTTAAATTCACCAGTGAGGAAGCTAAGGCCTAGAAGGTCAAGGATGTCGCCAGGGCCACACAGCCAGCTGGGCTTAGAGCTTCAGTGTCTTTGTGCTTTGTGTGCATTGCATTCTCCCTAGGGTGCTTTAGACCTTGTTTGTTTTCTTCTGCATGAGGCTGATTTCCAGTTTGTCATCAACCTCTTTATCTTATAATTTAGGATAGAGTTGAATGTTAGTCTTGAAAGATTTGCTAAAGTATTTCAAATGTTCCTCAGAGGCCTAGGATTTTCCAAAAGTACCTTAGGAACCTTGTAGGCTGCGGTGGGGGTGTGGCGATAAAGGAGGAGGCAGGGAAACGGGGCTGCAGGGCCTCCCACCTTCCAACAGACACGCTCTGCTTTATCTGTTTTACATACTGGGATTCTGTAAAGGATATTATCTGGGGTTTTGTATGTATTTGTCTGTGTTCAGCTTTTTAAAAATAAACTTGAAAAGCTACTGAATTAATTTAACCAGTTTATTTTGCAGGTAAGAAAACTAAGCCTTAAACCTTTTGTGACCCTCCCCTCTATGTACGAAAACATTCCAGCTCCACATCAGATGAGCCCAACAGCCATAAAAGGAAACAGGGAGAGCCTGGGGCTGGTAGTGAAAGCCGACATCATGGTGGGGCTGGCCCTGCAGTTAAATCCGAGCATCCGAAGGACTGTGGCAAAGAATGCGATTCTCACCATGCACTGGTCCCACCCAGGTTGGGGCAGGGGCAGCATAGGCTTCTGGGTAGTGCCAGGCAAGCCTCGCAGTCAGCAGGGCATCCTCATCACAGCTGCAGTCAGTTGGCCTGCTCTGGAGCAGGACCCAGCTAATCAAGACGATGGTGGCAGATTGACAGCTAGATGATGACTGTGTGGGGTCACATGGGTACATTGCTTATCTGATCCACATAACAGCACAAGGAGGCGGATTGGCAAAGTGGGTCAGAGCTCAGAGCTGGAGTCAGGTGGCCAGGGTTTGAATCTCAGCTCTGCCACTTACTGGCTGTGCAGACTAGACCAAGTTATGTAACTTCTCTGTGCCATGGTCCCCCACCTACAAAATGAAAGAGGTGGTAATAATACCCTTTGTAGAGGGTTGATGTGTCTGGTGACTTAGTACCTATAAAGTGTTAAGCCACACCTGCACAGCATGAAAATAGTACAAGTGCTTGCTGCTGTCACTGTTACAGGTAGGTCATTAGGATTGTCTGTATTTTCCAGAAGGAAATTCAAAAGGTAAAATGCTTGTCCAAGGTCATGCTTCTAGAAAATGTGCTTTAGCAGCACCTGAACTCAGGTCAGACAGCACCCAAAGCCTCTTCTGCTAACTGCTGGACTGTACAACCAGAGCTCCTGGGCAGTGTGGCAGGCTATATGTAAGGAGATGGACTGTTTTTTCCCCCAATCTATTGTGGATAACATTTTTAGAATATAAAGTCAGGTGCTTGGATTGTCTCAACACTGTCAATTGCTATGGAAGTTTCTGAATGCTTGCTTTGACTTTCTGAACTCAGCACCAGCCGGCCTTGCTGAGTCTCCATTTCCAGATGGGCCCTCCCAGGCCTAGAGGAGTACTACTGCAAGTCTGGCAGTGGTACTCACACTTGGAATAGTATTCCTCTAGGCCCTGGGGGGGCCCACCTGGAAATGGAGAGAGAAGTTCTGCAAAATGGGCTGAATAGATAACATTGAAGTCACATTAGGGAAGGTCATGGTCAAGGAGTTTACACTTGGTAGGTGTCCAGGCCCAACCCCTGACACCAGTGCTGTGCCCCTTGCCAAGCTGAGGGGCCTAGGGAATGGCAGGGCTGAGCCAGGCCACTGGGGGTAGGGTCACTACCCTGTGCTTTCTGGCACAGCTGATGGCACACATGGGAAGTAAAGTAACGCCCCAAGAATAATCAAAAACACGTGGGAATACAGAAAACAAGCAGTTCTACTCAGAGGTCTTTTCTTTTTTCTTTTTTTTCTTTTTTTTAGGAGGGGCTGGGAGGGGTGGGGACTGACCACAGCATGCCTAATGTTTTTGAGGAAACTGTGCTTCTATCCTTCTCCCATTGAGGTTTAACAGTTACTTCTCCCTAACTGAGGAAACCCTCACCTCTGCTCTGTTGGCATGAAGCTGCATGCCCCTAATTTGGAAGGCTGTGTTTTTCCACCTAACAGTAATAGCTTATGTTTCCTGAGTTCTTCCAATGTTTCAGTGCCTGTGCCTGAGTGCTTTACACTTAATCCTCCCATCAACCTCCTGAAGAATATACCATTATTAGCCCTATTTTCCTTCTTTCCTTTTTTCTTTTCTTTTCTTTTTTGGATAGGGTCTTGCTCTGTCACCCAGGCTGGAGTGCAGTGGCACAATCTCAGCTCACTGCAAACTCCGCCCCCCAGGTTCAAATGATTCTCCCAAGTAGCTGGGACTACAGGCACCTGCCACCACGCCCAGCTAATTTTTGTATTTTTAGTAGAGACGGGCTTTTGCCATGTTGCCCAGGATGGTCTTGAACTCCTGAGCTCAAGCCATCCGCCTGGCTAGGCCTCTCAAAGTGCTGGGATTACAAGCATAAGCCACCATGCCCAGCCTTATTAGACCTATTTTACAGATGAGGAAACTGAGGTTCAAGGGAGTTAAATAACTTAAAAGCCCCCGGTAAGCAATGGAACCAAGGCTCCGCTGTCTCGAAAGTGCACACCTTCCTGCATCGCACTACACACAAGTTGAGCTTGGTTTTCCTGGATTCTTTAGTGGAAGTTGTATAGTTATCCCTAATATAAATTACGTGCTTTCCAGTGTGAATATGGTACTAACTCCATATTATGCCTAGGTCAGATCATCTTACAAAATCTTTGACAAATTTTCCAAGTTTAGTAGCCTACTTATTTCAAGCAAATCCAGGATGAAAGAGTACCATAAACTGTACAATTTCTTATTGTGTTTTTATCAACTAGTAAGTTAGGTGGCCATTGCTTATATAATAGGATTCACACATCCAAAAACTGAGAGATCAAAGGTGGTCTGTGGCCATATGCTCCTGGGAATGTCAGCAATGACATGACCAAAGCCTACCTGGAGGCTGGTGATCAACTCTGAGCCTGGTCTGTGTCCACTGGTCCTTGAGCATTAACATTGGCCAGCCAGCACTGAGCACTTTGTGCCAGGAACTCTTCTATGTGTTTTGTGTTTATTTAATTTTCATAACCTTATCAAGGATGTACCGTCATTATCCCCATTTACAGACAGAAAAATTACAGTTATTTTTGAAAAGTCGCATAGCTGGCAAGTGGTGGAGCTGGAATTTGAACCCAGGCATTTTAGCTCCATAGTCATCCTATACTGCTCTGAGGATCCAGGCAGCAGATGTTCCCAAGGTCCAGCCAAGGGGCAGGCTTTGAGATATGGTTTGGCTGTGTCCCCACCCAAATCTCATCTTGAATTGTAGCTCCCATAATACCCACATGTCGTGGGAGGGGCCTGGTGGGAGGTAACTGAATCATGGGGGCGGGTTTTTCCCATGCTCTTGTAATAGTGAATAAGTCTCATGAGAACTAATGGTTTTATAAATGGGAGTTTCCCTGCACGTGCTCTCTTGCCTGCCACCATGTTAAGATGTGCCTTTGCTTCTCCACCATCTGCCATGATTGTGAGGCCTCCCCAGCCACGTGGAACTGTGAGTCCATTAAACCTCTTTTTCTTTATAAATTACCCAGTCTCAGGTATTTTTTTCATAGCAGTATGAAAATGGACTAACACACTTGGCATACGTGATATGTAACTATATATACAAGACTGGGTACGCCTTCATCCACTGTAACAGCAAATCATGGTTGACGTGACAGAACCAACTAGCAGCACATAAAGTCACCCACTAAATGTCGCATCAATATGCAGGACTGAGCCACTGAATTATTAAAGCCAGACCTGCAAGTAGAGTGGGCTCCTTTCAGGTAAGAGCATCAAGGGCTGAACGCTTTGCACTGTTAAGTATGATCTATTAAATTTTCTGAAACTGACTCACTAGGTCTAAAGCACAGCGCTGGAGGAATGAGGCCAATGTCAGAAGAGAAGGCAGCATGGGAGACACCAGAGATGGGGAGGGCAAGAGGCAGCCCACAGTAGCAGGTGGAAGGTGGTGTGCAGACACAGGGCAGAGCCTGCAAGTCTTGGTGCAACTCCTGTCCCATATTTCACAGAGTTCCAATCAAGTCTGTTTTAAAGCAGAATTCAACTGATATGTATAAATTATATTTTATTCACAGTAGGCCTAGAAGAAGCTCCGCAGTCTGACCAACTTTATGGTTCATGTATCTAAGGCACGTTTCAGTGTCTCCTGTTCCCTTTGTAGCAAGGTTTTCAAAGAGCCCCTTGAATTTTTTTTTTTTAAGAGATGGAACCTTGCTCTATCACCCAGGCTGGAGTGCTATGGCACGATCATCACTCACTGTGGCCTCAAGCAGTCCTCCTGCCTCAGCCTCCCCAATAGCTGGGATTACAGGCGCAAGCCACCACACCTGGCACCCACTGCTTTTATTAAGAACTGGAAGGTTGGCCGGGCGCGGTGGCTCAAGCCTGTAATCCCAGCACTTTGGGGAGCCGAGGCGGGCGGATCACGAGATCAGGAGATCGAGACCATCCTGGCTAACCCGGTGAAACCCCGTCTCTACTAAAAAATACAAAAAACCTAGCCGGGTGAGGTGGCGGGTGCCTGTAGTCCCAGCTGCTCGGGAGGCTGAGGCAGGAGAATGGCGTGAACCCGGGAGGCGGAGCTTGCAGTGAGCTGAGATCGGGCCACTGCACTCCAGCCTGGGCAACAGAGCGAGACTCCGTCTCAAAAAAAAAGAACTGGAAGGCATCTGGATCAGTCTCCTTTTTCAATACACACAAAGAGAAGCTTAAAAAGGAAAGGCAAAGGGGAAATTGCATCCATGGGGCATTTATTATGGGTAACTCAAATCATAATTTATGATCATAGGTAATTGTATATACATCTTCACACAATGGGACAGGTGATACTATCTTCATTTCATTATATATAGAGAAAAATAAGGTTCAGGGTTACACAGCTGGTTAATGAACAAGATCTGTGCCCCATCTGAGGTGCTAAGTCTGTCCTAGCTAAGCCAATGCTATCCCTTTCTGGACCTGAGGACATAGATGATGCTACTGTATATGCCCTGGATGGCTGTTTGCTCATAGGTTCTTTAGAAATTAAGATGACAACTGAATGCTGATTTTGTTCTCATATAATTGACATTACTAACATTTAAAAGCCTCAAATGTTTGCTATTCAGTATTTTATGAATATTTTTATGAAAGAATACATTAGGTTTCTTTTATAGTTACGAGAAACCAGGTTAATTAGATTTGTACAATGAACAAAAGTCTGGCCAGTGTGCTGGAGCCAGGGAATCCCTAATGTAACAGACTGTCTCCAACTTTCAGCTCTGCTTTCCAGAATATGGGCATCATTCTC